GAGTGAATGTAAGAAATTACATTTTGGTTCTTACATAAGATTTTTAGTTCATCAGGTAGGTCTTAAAAGATAACAATTAAATCTAGCGTGCTTTAGTTATGATTTAATACCATTTCTACCAAAGGTGTCAAAAGACAACATCTTTTGCAATTTTCGCTTAAAATTATTGTCATTAGTTAATTGTTTTACCATAATTAAATCTTCGACTTTTCCTATAATGGTTATTAAATTAATTAATTAAATTTATCATTAATTGAGACAAAATGATTAAAGTAATGATAATAATTGTAAGTGAAAATTTCAAAAGGTGTCTTTTGACACGTTCCGTAGAAATGGTGTTAATCTAAATATACTGGTAATTTACTAATACGATAACAAATTAGTTTCCATGCCTTTATTTTTACCAGGGCACACCAGGTGTAACTTTTCTCTATTTAGAGAGGTATAGTTGACAACCCGAAAGTCTTGTATAAGGGCAAGAATTATACTAATTTATTCTGAATGTATTTGTCTATGTGCTGTGAAATATATTAATTTTTTTTTCCTATCAAATCTGAAATTTGATAATTTCTATATTAGATGTTGGAAAGAATTACGTATAGTCTACATTAATAGACAATATGATGTGAAAAGTATTGCGTTTGAATATCTTATTGTATAATTAAGGAATGTTATTAGAAGTATTACAGTAGTGCAGTCATTCTTAATAGGAAGAAATCTCTAAAGAAATAGGATTTTTTTGCATAAGTTGAAACAAAGAAAAATCTCTGATTGGAATGATCCAATTCTACAATAGCATTATCTCATGAAATTTTGAATATACGTATACCTATTATGTCACTTAAATCTCGTATCTGGATACTTTTCTTTTTATTAGAGGAAATGAAAAAAACATGTACATACGATTTAATAGTATGTTTCGCCCATTAATGCAAGCCCATTTATATTTTTCCAAACGCTTTTTACAGTCATTTTTTTCCATCCTCAATAATGATATTGTATATTTCAGTTATTGTGCTTCTAGCAGTATTGGAATTTGCAACGGTCCCACAACAGCATGTTGGCTTTTACTGCAATGATCCGAAAATATCTTTCAAATTCATGGGAGACACGGTTTCTATGACGTCACTGATCGTGGGGAGCGTTCTAATGCCAATCCTAGTGGTATGTAAGAATGAACTAATTTTTTAAATCAGTTGTAAGTAATTGTTCGAAATGGTCTGGACACTGCCGATTATAAGAAAAACGGTTTTATATAATTTCTGAAAATGTAATTAGTATGAATACTTTGTGAGTAATTGGACGATTATAGGGTGCAACAAAATAAATGCAGCTGTTTAGCTATTTATAATTAGACTGCAAATGTTCATGCAAATTCCTGTTTTTATGAATATAATTAGAGAAATTAAATGCATGTACACATTATTTTCTCCTCTAAGTTATAGGTAATCTAGTTATAAGTTGTATTTTAATTTGGATATTTTGTATTTCTTTACATATCACTGCATATTGTGTCTCTTTCAATTATTGAGAATTCCCATAAATGCATAAAATGTAATGCTTATAATTTTATTTGCACAACAGTTTTTGAGGAATGAATTATTTATACCATTAATAGAGCTAATTTTTTTAATAACATGCTCAGTCTCATAATCAGTCAGTTACAAAATGGTCGCCCTTGGCATAAATACATAATTTCAAACGATTTTAATGTGCCGTATATTTTCCAGCGTAATTTTATCCAATTCAATAATTCAGGAAAGAACGTATGTAATCGATAGATAGTACATATATGGGC